TTTCGGTGGCGACTCTCTTGGGTCGCCAACTATACGGCGACGCCACTTCAAAGAGCGACCTAAAGCAGTACTTTTGGTGGTGACGCAAATATTATTATTTCATAAAAAGTATTGATTAATTCAAATTATTTTTTTTAATATTTTTTTACATATAATTTTTGTAAAAATATTGCTCATACTTTATTTTATCTTTTTATTAATATTGTCAACCCTAAAAATTGGATAACAATTAAATTTATAATGTGGTTTGAAGGACACGTGATTTTACCTAGTACCAATTGATAAACGTAGCAATTAGCAATAAAAATTAACAATGAGATAAAACAAACCAGTCTCGAAACGTGATTCAGCCTTCGAGCTTAAGTGCCTACGAACTGGTCGGTGCCCAAAATAGTTAAGAAGCAAACTAACTAATGAACAAGAATATAAGCTAGAAAGTATTGTATTGCTTTGATATGCGTCATTGTAAGATGGTTACAAAATGATTAGGACCCTCTTTATAGAGTAGAGGAATCCTATTTATAGTACAATTCTAATTACGGAAGTAAATCCCATGATTAACTAAATAACCGTCCTTGATTTGATCTGTTCCGAGATTTACGCCACGATCTTTGGCCAATCACGAATATCTCGCCTTTCTGTTATTGTGCTTTGCTCGTGTCTGTCTCAGTTGGTCTTGGTCGCTACTGGCTTCGATCTTCAATAGGTGCATCGGTCCTCTAACTCGGTGCCTTATCCTCGTACCTTGGTCTGATCCGTTGCGAGGCCGGCCTTTGACGCAATTCCCTAGCCTCGATCAAATAGCAAAATCGGGTAGGCCCGGTTTTAACCGTATACAAGTATATTGTTGGCGATTCACTAAACCCCCTTCCGACACAAAGTAGATTTATGAACAACAAGAGTATATGTTTACCATCAATTAGGTGACATTAACTCGATTTTGTGATTATTATGATTAAGTAGTCGTTTAGGCTTGATTTAATTTGTTAAGTAACTACAAATATGCTATAAGAAATTATTAAAATTCAGATATTCGATATTCAACCCGACTTGATTTTTTTACATTCTTAAATTCACTCGCTTGTGGGGTTGCAATAGTAAGATTATATTTGTTGTGATTAATTATGCTCGTAAAATATATTTATTGCCTTTGTTATTAAAATTATTGCAACATACAAGTCTAGCTAATAGATACGAATCAAAATAATTGATAAATTAAGGAAATCATGGCTTCAATACAATTAGAAAAGGTTAAGATTTAGTTATATACAAAGCTCGAAATGTTAATTCACATGGCTTTTGAGAAGCTAGAGAGTTATGAAGAAGTTACACTATGATTATCAAATAGTACTTTATAAAGAACTAAGCATAATTAATAATTTTTAATGATAACGACTTAGAATAGTATCTTAAATTCTTTAATAAAACTAGGAATTAAGATAATATTTTTTTCCCTAATCGTGCTTGGGCTAGAGTAGTATTAGGATGGGTGATCATATGGAAAGTCTTCGTGTTGCATCTCTCTTCGAAATAGGGAAAAATATATGGAAGGGGATCGCCACCTGATGGCGAAACTTTTATATATATAAAAAAATAGAATATTTTTTTAATGATAATGACTTATAATAATATCTTAAATTCTTTAATAAAACTAGGAATTAAAATAATACTTTTTTCCTTAATCATGCTTGGGCGAGAGTAGTGCTAGGATAGGTAACACTGTAAAAAGTCCTTGTGTTGTATCTCTTTAAAATAAGGGAAAAAATATGAAAGGGCATCGCCACTAGACGGCAAAACTTTTATATATATAAAAAAAGATAATATTTTTTTCCCCTAAATGGACAAGTATTTATAGATATCAAATAAAACGATCCATGCAAAAGGGTGCCTAGTACTTACGCAACTTTGGGCATTAAAAATTAAATATTTTATAATTATTGTACGATAAGGGTATGAGATACTAGAGCTGTCAAAACGGGCTAGCCCAGCTCAGTCTAGCCCAAGTCTCGTGGGCTTTTAAATTTGGTGGGCTAGGGCTGGCTCTCCCTCCATCTATACGGGCCTTAAAATGGTCAGCCCAGCCCATCCCATAGAGGGCCGCGGGCTAGGACGGGCCGGTCCTTCAACTTTTTTAGGAAAAAATATTTCTTCAAATTTTTAGATATTTTTTCGTGATATAATCTTTTAATCATATGAACGACTTCTATTTATTTAGAGTGCACAAGAATCTTGATATTTGATAAGGAATCTCGTAATTGAAATGCAAATTCTCTATATCTCTAGCTCTTCTTTTTTTAACGTTACATGAATATTTTTTTAATACTTTTCTTACACTTTCCTTAGATTCAGGTAGTGCTTCGATAAGTTTATATGTTAAGGTTTTTTAATTTAGGTTTAGCATTATTTGTTGATTTCATCATTATAGTCCATGAAATTTTTAAAATTCATGAAATTTGCTAGTGTTTTCGAACCGATTAATTATATAAAAATATGAATAATTATTGATATATGATATAATATCTTTTCGTAAATAATTTTAAATACTTTATGCATTTTAATTATTATTTTTAATTTTGATTTATCCTACTTATATCTTAAAAGATTGCCTAAGCCCAAAAGAATAGGATTCGGCCAATTTTCTTTTCCTTAATAGAATATAATTCTCTAACCTACACACATATTTTTTCCTAATAAAAGAGTTATAAAAAAAATTCTACGACAAGAGTAAAGAAAGCAAACTCAAATTGCAAGACTGTAGTAGCTAAAGCTTGAGAAAGTAAACTTTTAGTTTGTTTTTTGTTCATTTTTTTCGTATAAACAGGTAAATAAACTTTCAGTTCCGAAATAAATATTTATAAAAAGCATAAATTTAGCAAATTATTTTCAGATTGTTGTCTAGTATTGTTTTACTATTATCGACTTATCATTAGCTTACTAGGAATCGAAAAACCGAACCAAACCGAACCAAACCAACAACAACCAAACCGATGGTTTATATGTAATTTGGTTTAGTTTTGGATTTAAAATTTTAAAAACCGATTAAATTGGTTTGGTTTTGGTTTTAATCAAAAATCGGCCAAACCGAACCGTGAACACCCCTAATTGCAGTATATGGTTTTTACTGTTTTCTTGATGGCTATTCAGGGTATAACCAAATACCAATTGCACCTGAAGATCAGGACAAAACAACTTTCACATGTCCTCATGAAACATAGACCTATAGGAGAATGCCATTTGGTCTATGCAACGCCCCTGCTACATTTCAGCGTTGCATGTCAGCAATTTTTTCTAACATGACCGAATTTTTTTTTGAAATTTTTATGGATGATTTTACACTCTTTGGAAAAACATTTGAGGATTGTCTTCACCACTTGACCCTAGTTCTTAAGATATGTGAAGAGACAAACTTGATTCTTAATTGGAAAAAATGTTATTTTATGGTTACTGAGGGAATTGTTTAGGACATAAAATCACTGCTAAAGGGATAGAAGTTGATAAGGCTAAAATTGATCTCATAGCAGGATTACCCACTCCCACAACTGTGAAAGGAATTAGAAGCTTTCTAGGTCATGCAAGTTTTACAGACGGTTCATAAAAGACTTTTCAAAGATTTCAAAACCGTTGACTAACCTTGTGATGAAAGATATTAAGTTTATTTTTTTAGGTGATTGTTTGAAAGCATTTGAGACCCTTAAGGAAAAGTTATCAACCGCCCCTATAGTTGTATCCCCAGACTGGAATTAACATTTTGAGGTCATGTGTGATGCTAGTGATACAGCGGTTGGAGCTGTTTTAGGCCAGAGAAAGGATAAGATCTTTTGTCCCATTTACTATGCTAGTAGAACAATGAATGAGGCTCAACTAAATTATGTCACAACAGAAAAAGAGTTACTAGCAGTAGTATTTGCTTTTAATAAGTTTCGATCTTATTTGATAGGAACCAAGGTCATTGTTTTTACTGATCATGCAGCTTTAAAATACCTCTTAGCAAAGAAAGATGCTCGACCTAGATTGTTAAGATGGATTTTTCTTCTACAAGAATTTAACCTTGAGATAAAAGACAAAAAAGGAACAGAGAATCAAGTAGCTGATCATTTGTATAGATTAGAAAATTCCCTCTATTGAGTTTAGCGAAATAAAGGAAGAATTTCCTAATGAACATATTTTCTCAGTTAACTCAATTGTGACTCAACCACCTTAGTTTGCAGATATTGCAAACTACTTGGTTGGAAAGTGAATACCCCAAGATCTCTCTTACCAGCAAAGAAAAAGCTTATATCTGATGTAAAATATTATTTATGGAATGAACCTTACTTGTTTAAAAATTGTGCAGATAATATCATTAGAAGATGTGTGCCTGAGGAAGAGATGCACAAAATTTTATATCATTGTCATGATGGAGCAATTGGAGGTCATTATGCAGCAAATCGAACAGCCTTTAAAGTTTTAGAAGCTTGATTTTTCTGGCCGACTCTCTTTAAAGATGCCCAAGCACATGTTGCACAATGTGACATGTGTCAAAGAACAGGTAACATCACTAAGAGAGATGAGATGCCATTGCAATCAATACAGGTATGTGAAATATTTGATGTTTGGGGAATAGATTTCATGGGTCCTTTTCCTTCCTCTCATTCTTTTGAATATATCCTTTTGGCTGTGAATTATGTGTCAAGATGGGTTGAAGCCATCCCCATAAGGAAAAATGATGCTCGATCTGTGTGTAATTTTCTCAAAAAAATATTTTTACCGGATTCTGCACATCATGAGTCATCATTAGTGACCAATGAACTTATTTTATGAATAGACAAATTTCTACTTTGCTGACAAAATATGGTGTGACTCATAAAACATGAACACCATATCATGCTCAAACTCAAGGGCAAGTTAAAGTTTCCAACCGTGAGTTAAAAAGAATTTTTGGAAAGCCGATTGGAATCTCAAGAAAAGACTGGGCTTTAAAATTAGATGATGCATTATGGGCATATCGAATGACGTTCAAAATGCCAATTGGAACATCCCAATATAGATTAGTCTTTGGGAAAGCTTGTCATTTGCCAGTTGAATTAGAACACAAAGCTTTTTGGGCACTAAAAGCACTAAACTTTGAATTAGCCTCTACTGATAAAAATAGATTTTTTCAGGTTAATGAGTTGGAAAAAATGAGATTGGAGGCCTATGAAAATGCAAAAATTTTTAAAGAAAAAACAAAAAAATGGCATGACAATTTGATTCGAATAAAAAGTTTTAAAATTGGAGATCAAGTGCTTCTTTACAATAGTCGACCCAGGCTATTCCCAGGAAAGTTAAAATCAAGGTGGACAGGTCCTTACAATGTAACAAATGTTACTCCATATGGAGCAATTGAAATCCAACAGAACAATGGAGGTGACAAGTTCAAGGTAAATGGTCAAAGACTAAAATTGTACTTTGGAGGACATTTTGAGCAACATTCATCAATCACTTTGATAGATTGATGAATTCCACAGGTAATACGTCGAGCTGACGATGTTAAACTCAGAACTATAGTAACATACCCGTAGCCATTGAAGGTGAAGCAATGGAGCCTTATAAGTCCAACATATGTTTGATAATTAAATGCTTAACCAATTAATTTGGTCAATATCCAGGTTACTATACAACCAAGACATCTTATGAAGGCCTCTACAAAAATAGAATCACCTACACAGGAGCAACTCTATGGTGATCGGTATGCCTAAGTAACTGGTTGGTCAACCATTTAATGTTTCAAAGTCGAATGCTAGCTCTGGTAAGTTTTGGTTTATATTTAAACCAGGACCAAATGACTGGTAAGATCTTAAATTTAGTCAGTATATTACACATAGAACATGTGTAGTCATAGTTTCTTTCAAGCTTTCTTCTGTGATTGTAAATTTGAAAGCCAAAAAGATTTTATTTATTTTAAATATATACATTAGTATTAATTTTTTTCTTTTCCTTAAATTAATACTTGTATATGTATATCTCTCATCACGTATTTTATCCAGGAGGATGAAATAGTTCACGTGTGGAGGGGTATATTCTGATGCATTTCTAGTATATGTTATATATTTATCTAATTAATAGATATATATATATATATATATATATATAT